TATTTAAATGTCATCTGAGCAGTTGACACAACTGTAAATAAATAAATAGGATGGAGGACAATGACCCCTAAAGAACAAGTTGGATTTACTTTTAAACTGTAATATAGACTTAGATATAGGTTTAGTTTATGCAGAATGATGTTGCATCAGCTAATGTGATATTATAGGAATGAAATGCATAGAAACATTTTCTAATTTATTTGTTATGACACAAAATGTAAAATATTAAAACAGGGGCAAGATGGCCCCTACTGGAGTAAAGTGGCATATTTTAATAAAAGGTATGTCATAATATCATCACTATGAATGCAAATTTAATTTACACTCAAATAACCTATTGGTTTTAAGCAAAAGAGACAATGTCTGAAATTTAATTCATAGAAATATTGAATAATAAACCCATGAATTACAATAAGTATTATATTTAAAAAAAAATAATAACACTAGTAACAACACACCACTTGTGGCCTTCTGTGCCAATTCTGGGAGAGACACAAAAACAATAATACACAAGATCACTGTTTTCCAGAGACACTAATTTAGATCACTTAACCACAAAGCAATTTTGACTGACTAAATCTCACAAATATTGATATTCAAATTAAATGACAAAATTAAAAATAGTGTAGCCATTCATCAAAAGTGCTGAGATGAGATTTTGTGCCATCTATGGTCAAGAAAAAAAAAATGAGGGGATGCGTGTGTGTGTGTGTGTGGGGGGGGTAATCTTACCCTGTCTTACCCAAATTACCGTAGTCTATGTTTTTATTATTATCATTATTTCTTACAAACACTGACAGTGAGAATAAAGTGATGGAAACAAGGAACATGCCTTTTTTTCTTGTGACATACAGAAAACATGGTTTTTGAAGTCAACAGGCTAAGGACAACACATTCTCATGACTTTTTGTAAGTATTTTATGATTTGGCAAATTGGCGCTCATTGCACCCCGAGGTTTAGGTTTGGGGTGCATCTTAATTACCCACAAATTGTAAATTTTTGTGAGATTGTACTAATTCATATGAAAATGCAAACCTGTATAATACTTACAAATTCTCAACTTTTCAGGTTTCTGGCCAGCAAAAAAAATAAATAAATGAATAAAAAAGCATAGGCCTCCTGCAGAGTTTTGCTCCAACCCTAATCAAACACACCTGAACCAGCTAATCAAGGTCTTCAAGATCACTCAAAAGCTACAGGGAGGTGAGTTTGATAAGGGTTGGGGCTAAACTCTGCAGGACAGTGGCCCTCCAGGACTGAAGTTGTCCATCACTGCTCTAGAATGTCATTATGATTAGTTTTCACTAATGTAATGGAATAGTCAAGCCTATAGGTAATCATTATTTGTGGTGGGGTTCAACAATTGTTTCCAACAGAATATTCAAGAGAGAAAGGGGACAAAAGACAAATTCAGAAAAAAAAAATATTCAGGACTTGGAATGGAGATTTTCACAGAAGTATTTACAGTTTATGTTTCACCGCTCAGTCAAAACTACTACACCACAGATCCAACTATGAAAACAAAAGATAATGAACACAAAAACATTTGTACATGCATGCACTGTTGTGGCAAAGAAATCCACTTGAAAATAATAAAGTAACTCACCTTTCGTCACTGTAATGAAGTCAGTTTATTTCATCTTGTATGACAGCATCCCAGCCTCAGCAAGGACATATTGGAGGATGAACCTGTTTAAATCATTAAAGGGGTCATATGATGCTATTTAAATTTTTCCTTTTTCTTTGGAGTGTTACAAGCTCTTGGTGCATAAAGAAGATTTGTAAAGTTGCAAAGACTAAAGTCTCAAATCCAAAGAGATATTCTTTATAAAAGTTAAGAGTCAACCACGCCTACCTAAAACAGCTCGTTCTAACACGCCTACACAGATGTGGGAAGATTTGCATAATGCCTAACAACTTTTATTCTCGCAGTAGTATTGTTGCTGCCGCCGCCATGTCGTGAAGGCACTGTGTGTTTCGTTGTGAAGGCGAAACTACTTTGTTTGGTCTTCCAAAAGAGGACGAAATCCGCTTCCTCATGTCTGGAGCTGATCCGTGCTGGTCGCTGAGGAAATATTATGTCCCCACTGGATGCAACAAATGCCTCGTTTATAATGGGTTTTAAAAATGTTTTGTCTCGTCGCTCCGGCCGGACACGTCATCACAGTATGGTAACATTTCCATCACACGCTTGAGGTATTCGGCCAATCACAACGCACTGGATAGCTGGCCAATCACAGCACACCTCGCTTTTCAGACCGATGAGCTTTGTAAAAATCGATGCGTTTCAGAAAGGCGGGGCATAGAGGAGAAACAATAATGTACAGTATGTGGAAAAGAATGTGTTTTTTGAACCTTAAACCGCATAAACACAGTTCATTACACCAAATACACAAAATAATGTTCTTTTTTAGCAACATCATATGACCCCTTTAATTAGTTTACACTATAATATGTTATACTGTATATTGTAATATATAATATATTGTAATTGACTTTAAAATATAAACCTACCATAAAAAATATTATTCACTGATGTAAAAAATGTGAACTAGCCATGATTATGTATATAAGATAGCATCTACATGGTACTTGAAGGTGAACTACGTTTTGAAAAAAAATGTTTTTACATTCTTAATCATGTCATCTGTATTTGGGTCTAACGATTTCAGCCTATGGACAATTTGATTGAGCAATAAAAGATGGGACTGACAAGGCACGAAGGGCTTATTATACCATAATAAAATCATTGTTAATCCTAAATTCGCAGCTAATCAATTTCACAGATGATCAAATAATACATAATAAAAAACCCAGACCCAGAGAGCACACTGATGGAGTCGTGGAGTACAAGTTGCATTTCTTCACAGAGTGCAGCAAATAAGACCATTAAAGACTATTACTTTTCTCAAATAGCTTGCATTTCTACCTGATTTCCAGTGAGCAAGTCATTTAGAAAGACGATTGGGAGAAAAGGAAGAATGTGTCCAGCTCACAGCGCAATATATGTCAGTCTTTCTTTGTGTGGGTTTATTATATCATTTATGTGTGTGTGTATGTTTATTGCTTATTGTTTGGCAAAATTGTGCTACTCTACACATTCATACCATTAATCACAGTCATGCTCATTCAAACTGAACTGAATTGAATTGAGCTGAGTTGAAAGAGAGAGAGAGATTATCTGAACATCTGTTCGATGAAGAGATTTTAACACACTCAGTGCATTTTCATGAGTGCATTGACACAACATAATCCTTGTAACCTCAGAAGTGATTTTAAAGCTTCATTAAATTACATTTTAACATATAATATAAGCTTGTTTGAAACTGAACAGGTCTGGTTGCATTCATAATTAAATGATTCACAATACCCACTGTGCTACTGCAATAGTGATCATTCTCACCATGAACGTAGGCTCAAATTTGTGTATCAAAGTGGCTTATGTTTCAGTGTTACATATCATTCTAGATAAATGTGAAATATGTCATATATAAGTGGTTATATAAAACAAGGCTTAGGCCATTTCAAGTTGATCTTAGTTAATATATACTCTGTCAGGTACAAAAAAAAAAAGGTTAAAAAAAAATCTTGTACAACCATCCAGAGTATAGGAAGAGGAAGACTCTTATTGATGCCCTTAATGTATATATATGTGAAGCTGCCTATAGGTACCAAGCACCATTTGATATTTCAACACCAATATCTGCTGTATGAAATGTACAAATGTGCATGTTGGCAGCAAGCTGGGATTTTATATATGAAGATATCAGAAGATATATATATATTTATATCAGGCTCCTCTGCTCAGTAATTTCACTTTAATGGCAAAAAAAAAAGTTATTAGTCAGTTATTGAATGCCTTTTTTAAAAATGTCCAATGTTATTTTCATAGGAGCCTGATAAAAATGCTCATTTAAAAGAAAAATCTCAGATGGACTTTTTGCATCTTAAGTCTTCTTATAAAATGAACAAAATTAACAAGAACAAATCATTTAAAAAGCTGATGTTTTGGGATATGTATAGAAAATCTGGTCATATACAACATAAACTAATACAGCAAATATCCAATTCCAATTCAGTGGTTGTGTCTACTATAACAAATCAAATTGCACCAGATTTCAAAAGGTCCTATTCTCCACATGACAAAAGATTATGTCACTTATTTTGTAAAAAGTGCATGTCGACTGGGTGTCACTTTTCATATCATACTTCGTTATGGACTACCAGACAAATAAGACTGTAATCATGAGAATACAAATGCATCAGATATACATTTTCAATCATCACAAAGCACTTAACACAAACTCATTTAAAACATATCTGTGAAAAGAAACATGTTAGCCTATTGGCAAACATGTCTGGATCTTCAAAGAGAACCTTGTGCTTCAAAAATATGAAACCAAATGATATAACAAAATATCTTTTCGGTTTACTTAAAAAAATATTAAAAACATGCCACACCACCAGAAACAACAAAAACACATTTAAAGAGTTTAAAGCTCTGTGAGCTAAAGTGTTGTAAAGAAACACTTTATAACGTACTTAAAACTTACTGCTAACCATTTCCACCACCAAGTTGACCTTTCAGGGGTTTTTTTAAATGAAGGGAATAAAATACATAAAAAACTGTTTTGTCAAGTTTCAATCCCCCCCATCTCCCTATATTGCTACCTCTTCCCCTATGGTATGAGACAAGGGCAATTTGGCCAAAAAATAAGGAAACATAATTTTTTGGCTAATATTAGACTTTTTTTAAGCATCAAAGACATATTTAAGCATGAAAGTATGTTGGAAATTTTAAAAGTATTTATGAACTCCCAGCCCTACTTCA